AAACAGGGCTGTAGTCGACTAAACAAGATTCTAGTTCAACTAAAGACGCGAGCTGCTCATCAACTCAACGACTCAGGACTCCGCCCCCTGTGGCTCAGGTGTGTGGCTCAGGTCTCTGTGGCTCAGGTGTGTGGCTCAGGTCTCTGTGGCTCAGGTGTGTGGCTCATGTCTCTGTGGCTCAGGTGTGTGGCTCATGTCTCTGTGGCTCAGGTGTGTGGCTCAGTCTCTCTGTGGCTCAGGTGTGTGGCTCAAGTCTCTCTGTGGCTCAAGTCTCTCTGTGGCTCAAGTCTCTCTGTGGCTCAAGTCTCTCTGTGGCTCAAGTCTCTCTGTGGCTCAAGTCTCTCTGTGGCTCAAGTCTTTGCCGTCTGTGGCTCAAGTCTCTGTGGCTCAAGTCTCTGTGGCTCAAGTCTCTGTGGCTCAAGTCTCTGTGGCTCAAGTCTCTGTGGCTCAAGTCTCTGTGGCTCAAGTCTCTGTGGCTCAGGTCTTTGCCCCCTGTGGCTCTGGTCTGTGGCTCAAGTCTCTGTGGCTCAAGTCTCTGTGGCTCAAGTCTCTGTGGCTCAAGTCTCTGTGGCTCAAGTCTCTGTGGCTCAAGTCTCTGTGGCTCAAGTCTCTGTGGCTCAAGTCTCTGCTGTCTGTGGCTCAAGTCTTTGCCCCCTGTGGCTCAAGTCTTTGCCCTCTGCGGCTCAGGTCTCTGCGGCTCAGGTCTGTGGCTCAGGTCTGCGGCTCAGGTCTGCGGCTCAGAGACTTTAAAGTGGCTCAGTTTGTGTCTGGAGTCTGGAGTTCATCTCTGGTCTGAGACTTTTAGTCCAAAGATCTAGAAAGATCTAGAACGACTCGTTTTAAAAGGAGTTTTGTTCGAGCTGCTGTTGTACTGAATAAACTGTCATCTATTTATCAGTTTTAGTAAATCATCTTGGAAAAAGGTGTTTTTTTATATATTTAATATTTATTGTGATTTTTAGCCATGTTGATGAATGAATGAATTATTTATGGAACAAATCTGTTCTGCACTGGAGCTCTGGAACACTTTAATATTGTGTTTTTCTGTCTTTATTGTTCAGAATGTGGATGAGTGAAATGTGAAATGTGAAATGTGGGACCCGCCGCTCAAATCTGAAAAACTAATTTACCTCCAAGTACGAATAAATCAACTGAACCTAAAGTCCGTCTGTGACATGTTAGTGCCGTATGAACCACCTGCATCAACTCAGGGACCGACCTCCTGCTGTAGACCTGGTTCAGTCCTGGTTCAGTCCTGGTTCAGTCCTGGTTCAGTCCTGGTTCAGTCCTGGTTCAGTCCTGGCTTAGTCCCAGCCTCCTGTTCTGTTTCAGCTGCGTCTGACTGAAAGATTTTCATTTTTCACTCTGCACTCTTCTGTGATAATGTTCTGATGACTGTTTATGTTTTGATAAATTTTGATTTTATTCTCTTTTTTATTCTGTAAAGAACTTTAAATGACTTTGCGTAGATATAAACTTGCCTTGCCTAAAAAGGAGCTGTGGCCAAAGCGCTCCAAACTCTTCTGTATCTCTGACACCTGCAGGGGGCGCTCACGCAAAAAAAAATACTATTAATGCAGAAAAAAAAAAGCACTGGGAAACAGATTCAAAGTTGAGAATCCTGAGTTTAATCTAATTTTTTACAGAGAAACACTCTAAAAACGGCAAATCCTCAGCTCACTCTCTGTCTCTGCTGCTGCCAGAGAAAAAACTCCTAATCTAAAAGAGGAGGTCGACTAACGGACGACTAAACGACTACAGCCCGTTTCTCATTTCCTCCTTTCACGGGTTAGTCCGGAACCTAAACGAGCACAGGTGTAAATAAACCAAAGAATGAGAAGGAAGGAGAGAGAGGGAAGGAAAAGTGTCCGCTGGCGAGTTCAGGCGCCGCGTAGACTCCGGCGGGGCTGGAGTCTACGCGGCGCCTGAACGCACCGCGGGGGGTTCGGGCGCCGCGTAGACTCCTGCGCTCCTGTAAACGTCGGCGGGGCTGGAGTCCACGCGGCGCCTGAACGTTCGGGGGAGGCCTGCATGCACAAAACTGATGGGAAACTGTGTTCTTTAGGCTGCTCCCGTCCCCCCCAGAAACGCAGGGGCCGGAGGAGGCGTGGCCTAAAGGGGCGTGGTTTCCTGCGGGGGGGGGGCGTGGTCTCCGGCGGGGGACGGTCGCGCGACGGACACGCCCCCCGGCAGGACAGAGAAGGAACAGAAACGGGAAAAACAAAAGGAACAAAGGGATGAGTGATGATAAAAGAATGATGCAATGATCGATAATGAGCAGGAATCTGTGCGGCTGCTCGTCCGAGAGGATTTTTCAGCTCAGACCAACGCCAAGGACACGTCTGTTTTCTCTTTCCTCGCTTCCTTCGCCTTGATTCCTCTCCTCAATACGCTCTACTCACGGTTACCGGAAAACGTTTGGAAACATGCAGATGACGACTTCAGGTGTAGTTCCTGTTGGAGCAGGGGATCCCCAGGTTTGACGACCCCAAATTTAAGACGTTTTTAAGACGTTTTTAAGACTATTTAAATGAAAATTAAGACCAACATCACACCCATTATGCGGGCAAAAAAACACCTGATCCAATTCTAATAATGACCAATACTCACTGCTCTAAATAACAAAATACTTTTATTATAAAATCTCATTCAGAACTCATTTATAGTCGTATGTATTGCCTTGTAAAATGGCCAAAAACTAAGCATGGTTTGTGCATCCTCCAAATTAGACGATCATTCTCGTTATGTGATTTCACGTTGTTGTTTTTTTCCCTCTATTTAATGTCACACTGCAGCCCGGTTGAGTTTATGAAAGCTGACGTCATTGTTATTAAAAGCCGGCGTTGCTGCTGGGAAATATTTTGGTTGGAGGCAAGAAACACGATAGCGTCAAACACAGTGTGTAACCTCGCGTATTTCTCCATGATAATGTTAAACTCCTGCTGCATTATCGGACGCACAAATAGAAGCACGGAAGAAGGAAAATGTCTTTTTCGTATTCTGAGTGAAAAGAACCACTAACGGTGAATTAAACGACTTTCAAACATCCGCAGAGCAAACGTAGAAGATCCTAACAAACCGTGGACTCAACAAGTTCAACAACACATCCAGACTCTTGGAGGTTTTCATCTTTTCTGCTGTGAACGGCCCAGGAGTTTCCACCAAGTCATTGTGGATGTCGCCCAAGTGAATATTTGTCCAGGTAGTTGGAGATTCTGACCAGAGTTTGGTTTGGTCCAGACTCTGTCGGGGTTGAAAAGGGTGATTTGTCGTCCGTCGATGTTTATGACCAATTTCTGGTCAAATGGTCTTGGGTCCTCTGCCGTTAGACTGGATAAATAACCGGGATCAATACCCTTTACGTGTTTTCTCGCTCCGTCCGTCATGTTGAATTAGTGTTTCTTGCCGCCGACTAGGGATGGGCATTCGATGAAATTTTCTTAATCAATCGTCGGAAGAATTAACGATTGATTATCGATTAATCATTAACGTTATTATATTAAAATTATCATCATTATTATGACTATCTGCACTAATCTGCATAAATAAATTCAACGACTTATAAACCGTAACGACTCTAGATCCACATCAGCTGTTTGACATTATAATGTGTTTAATTCAGTTTTGTTCAAATCTCACAGAAACAAAACTTAAAACCACATCACTAATTTACATAAACTAAGTGAAGATAAAACTCCAGCTCTTGTGTCGCTGATGTGGTTCAACTTGTGTTGGATTAAAAGACATGACTCAGGTGAATACAGGTCAGTGTGACCAGATTTGTGTTTGTCAAAACCAGGACAGCGTACGGGGGGAGGGGGGCGGGGCCTCGTCATCCACATTGAGCGACTCTCACCTGGAAAAACTTTTTCCCACTGGACACAGAAACATATGTGCTGCTTTATCCACTGTGCACATGGACTCACACTTGTCCCAACGCAACGGAAAGTGTGGAATTTCTTCTACAAATCCTGGTTAAATCCACATTTGTGCTTTGGTTCGTTACAGACTGACCCACTGTTTGTGTCTCGCTCCTTCTGATGCAGAGACACATGTACACACCTGTTTGGTCACGACACACAAACATACATCTGGTTTGTTGATTAAAATTAACGTAATCGATGAAATTCTTAATGATCAATTATCGATTAATCGATTAATCATGCCCATCCCTACCGCCGACTAAAATAATTCCCAGCATGCAACACGCACTTTTGTCAACAATGAAACTCGCCTATTAGGAGATACCAGCTCAAAATGTTCCCAAACAGGGAAAACGTTCTTTTTCTTACTGGCTCCATCGCAAAAAAAAAAAAGAATCTCAGATAGAATGAACCAAACTCGCAATAACCCAAAACCACAAAAATGTTTTAGGTGACTCCGTTGAGTTTCTTTGGCCTTTATGTTTCGAATCATGCGCCAAATCCACAAACAATTTCCTGAAGCGTCACGTGGAACGGGCGGGTCGCGAGGCTTCGAATGTCACCGGTACGAGCCTGGATACGCGCTTCACCAAAGACTACCTCGACACACGCTTCCGAGCCTCCACACGGACGACACATCACGAGCAGCTGCGTCTTCACAACCTGCCAGAGCTTTTCCACGAGGGACGGGACCAGAGCCTTCGTCACCCTGGACCCGGAGTCTCCAAGTCTCCAGCTCACCAAGGGATTTCTGAACTAGACATTTGACTGACAGCCGAAAAATGGAGAATCGAGGAGAGGAGTCGAGGAGAAGGAAGCGTGGAAAGAAAAACGAGACGTGGCCCGAGACTCGTTTACACTTTCTGGTTTGTTGGCTCGGTCTGCTGAACTGATCCACGTAGAAATGTAAGAATATCGTCCCGTCAAAGTTCTACGTGGTCATCGTACATCGTGGTCTGTCACAGTAAATCAAATTATAATCTTTAATTATAAAGCAGACAGAGACATGCCTCCTGTTAGCGCTCTGTGTGTGTGTCTGTGTGTGTGACGTGTGTGTGACATGTGTGTGTGTCTTACCCTCCTTCTCCTCCTCCAGTTGGTTGATGCGCACACTCAGAGCGTTCTTCTCGTCCTGGGCTCGCTCTCGGGCGCTGACGGCCTCGGCCACCATCTCCTGCCACTCCAACACCTGAACCTGAGGGTCGTCTGCACTGCCCGCCTCGCTCGCCTGCGCACACACACACACACACACACACACACACACACACACACACACACCGTCACACACACCGTCAGGGCGACACACACACACACACACACACACACACACACACACCGTCAGGGCGCACACACACACACACACACACACACACACACACACACACACACACACACCGTCAGGGCGCACACACACACACACACCGTCAGGGCGACACACACACACACACACACACACCGTCAGGGCGACACACACACACACACACACACACCGTCAGGGCGACACACACACACACACACACACCGTCAGGGCGACACACACACACACACACACCGTCAGGGCGACACACACACACCGTCAGGGCGACACACACACACACACACACACCGTCAGGGCGACACACACACACACACACACACACACACCGTCAGGGCGCACACACACACACACACACACACACACACCGTCAGGGCGACACACACACACACACACACACACACCGTCAGGGCGACACACACACACACACACACACCGTCAGGGCGACACACACACACCGTCAGGGCGACACACACACACACACCGTCAGGGCGACACACACACACACACACACACACCGTCAGCGCGTCAGGGCGACACACACACACACACCGTCAGGGCGACACACACACCGTCAGGGCGCACACACACACACACCGTCAGGGCGACACACACACACACCGTCAGGGCGACACACACACCGTCAGGGCGACACACACACACACACACACACACCGTCAGGGCGACCGTCAGGGCGACACACACACACACACACACACACACCGTCAGGGCGCACCGTCAGGGCGACACACACACACACACACACACACACCGTCAGGGCGCACACACACACACACACACACACACACACCGTCAGGGCGACACACACACACACACACACACACCGTCAGGGCGGTCAGGGCGACACACACACACACACACACACACCGTCAGGGCGACACACACACACACACACCGTCAGGGCGACACACACACACACACACACACACACACACACACACCGTCAGGGCGACACACACACACACACACACACCGTCACACCGTCAGGGCGACACACACACACACCGTCAGGGCGACACACACACACACCGTCAGGGCGACACACACACACACACCGTCAGGGCGACACACACAACATCAGGGCGACACGCACGGGGAGGGCACCTGGCACACAGGGAGGGCACCTGGCACACGGGGAGGGCACCTGGCACACGGGAGGGCACCTGGCACACGGGGAGGGCACCTGGCACACGGGGAGGGCACCTGGCACACGGGGAGGGCACCTGGCACACGGGGACATGTTTTTTTGTACCTGTGACGTGGCTCTCTTGGTGAACTGCTCCAGGTCGGCCTGTAGTGTTCTCTGCTGCTCCTCGTACAAAACCAGTTTGGCCTCGAGCATTTCTGAAACCAGACGACAAAGAAATAAGACAACACATCTGGGAGGGCATCTGACACACGGGGTAAAGAGGAGGGGCGTGGGAGGGCATCTGACCGTTTTTGGCTCTGAGTTCTTGGTAGTGTTCCAGTTTCCAGAGGTTTTCTTCCCGCTCCTCCTCCAGCGCCGTGATCTGAGCCTGAAGAGCGTCCAGGTCTGGAGACGCAGATCCAGCCTGGACACAGCAGCACGACACAGACAACGAAAACTTAAACCGGAGACGGGGCAGAAGGTTCCGGTGAATTAAAGGTTTAAAGACGGAGGATTTATGGAGCATTAACTGTAACATGTCACATATGTAGATCACCAAGTTACTTACATGTTAATACGCTGTGATTACAGAGACATGAACCATAAACCAGGTAAACAAATCTGCAACGACAGTTACACAGCAAAGTCCACCTGAGACATCACACCTGAACCAGCCAAGGTCCAACCACCGTCTCATCTGTCTCTGTCTAAAGTGAAACTGTCCACCCCATGAGAGGTCTGACCCTGAAGGACACCAGCTCCAGAGGGTCTGACCCTGAAGGACACTGGCTCCACAGGGTCTGAAGGACACCAGCTCCAGAGGGTCTGAAGGACACCAGCTCCAGAGGGTCTGAAGGACACCAGCTCCAGAGGGTCTGAAGGACACCAGCTCCAGAGGGTCTGACCCTGAAGGACACCGGTTCTCGAGGGTTTATAGGACAACGGCTCCAAAGGGTCTGACCCTGAAGGACACTGGCTCCACAGGGTCAAAAGGACATTGGCTCCAAAGGGTTGAAGGACACCGGCTCCATATAGTCTAAAGGACACTGGCTTCAAAGGGTCTGAAGGACATAAGCTTCAAAGGGTCTGCCCCTGAAGAACATCAGCTCCAGATGGTCTAAAGGATATTGGCTTCAAAGGGTCTGCCCCTGAAGAACATCAGCTACAGATGGTCTAAAGGACACCGGCTCCAGAGGGTCTGACCCCGAAGGACACCGGCAGAGGGTCTGACCCCGAAGGACAGGGGTCTGACCCCGAAGGACACCGGCTCCAGAGGGTCTGACCCCGAAGGACACCGGCTCCAGAGGGTCTGACCCCGAAGGACACCGGCTCCAGAGGGTCTGACCCCGAAGGACACCGGCTCCAGAGGGTCTGACCCCGAAGGACACCGGCTCCAGAGGGTCTGACCCCGAAGGACACCGGCTCCAGAGGGTCTGACCCCGAAGGACACCGGCTCCAGAGGGTCTGACCCCGAAGGACACCTGAAGGACACCGGCTCCAGAGGGTCTGACCCCGAAGGACACACCGGTCTGAAGGACACCGGCTCCAGAGGGTCTGACCCCGAAGGACACCGGCTCCAGAGGGTCTGACCCCGAAGGACACCGGCTCCAGAGGGTCTGACCCTGAAGGACACCGGCTCCAGAGGGTCTGACCCTGAGCTACTTGCTGGCACAGATGGATGGATAATATTTCCAGGTCATTATGTAACACTGGGTTTGGCTCATATTTGATTCATAAAGAGAGGCTTAAACGGGCCACAAAGAAAAGAAACAAATGCAGAAAAAGCTGATGATAAAAAGGAAAAACTACAGGAATTAGTTTTGTTGTGTTTGCGCTAACGTTAGCATTAGCTTTAGCATCACGCACAACGCCACAAACTAAACGTGTTTTTGTGAATCACTGAGGTGATGAGGTGTGATCACGAGGATATAAGGTACGATTTTATTCATTAAGAAAACTGTTGTGTTTGTGCGTCATCAGTGTGTCACAGCGACTCTGACTCTGGACCCGGACCTGGACCCAGGGGCCGCTCCACAGACCTGCTCCTCGGCCCCTGGAGAACCGCATCAGGGGAAAAGAGGCGTAAGGGCATTTGTGTTTTTAGACACTACCTCAGAAGTTATTGTTTAAAATCGGCTGAGTTAACAAAGTAAAGTTCCACAGTTTAAAGATGTTCTGTGCAGGAGTTTGCGTTGGTCACCTGGCTCCTCCTCAGCTCCTCCTCCAGCTGTTTGATCCTGGATTTGGACCAGGCCTTTATCTTCAGGAACTTTGCTTCAGATTTATTCGCCTCCTCCGTCTTCTCCTTCACTTTAGCTGAAAAATACAAACAAAGAATTCAGAACCAAAAGAAAGTAGAACCATATATTTAAGCTTAACACTCCTCAAAAACAACTAATTTTGACCTTGAACGTATTCAACGAGTCCACGGAAACAGAGTAAAAGTTAAAATCATCTCCACGGAAACAAGCAGGCCAAATCAGAGTTAGGTTTGTGGAGAGGCGAGCTCACTCACGCACAGTAAGGACGCATGTTTATCAGAGCAATAAAAACGATTAAAAAACACACTTGCGATGCAGGTAACAACTGGAACACAGATTTATTCTTAATTATAAAACACAGGACATGACGCCACGTTGTTTATGGTTTAATTTTTAAATTTTTTTTTTTACAAGTTTCATTTGCGCAGAAATCGAGTGGGTTTAAACCTAAAAGCACTCTCCCTGATCTCAAATCAGTTCTTGTTTTCTTTCAGATTTGATTCGTTGTAGATTCTTTAATTCTGCTCTCTTCTTCTTCTTAATTCTTCTTCTTAGTTTCATGATAATTATTTATATTTTGATTTGTTTGTATTGTGATCCATCGTATTTTACGGACTATAAGTCGCTCCGGAGTGTAAGTCGCACCAACCAAAAAATGTGTAATGAAGAAGAAAAAAACACATACAAGTCGCATTTTTGGGGTGAAATTTATTTTATAAAATCAGAGACCAGGAACCGACATTTTAATGTTAAAAGCCCAGTTATAGTAATAATAGAAATAGAAAAGAACAGGCTCCACTAGATTCTTCATCCTCTGTGTCACTTCTCAGTTTTAAGTCTCGTCTTAAGACCCTTTTATTCCCTGACTTTTAATATCACGTGAGTTGTGTGGTCCTCTGTCTTTTTTTTTTTTAGTTTGATCTTTTTATTTGTTTTATTTTTATTTTTTTTTATTGTTTTATTAGTTTATTTTTTTAATTTATTTATTTTTAATTTATTTATTGTTTTATTTATGTATTTATTTATCTATTTATTTATTGTTTTATTTATTGTTTTTATCTATTTTTTTAGTACTGCTTTTATGCATTGATTTTATTTATTTATTTATTGTTTTTATTTATAGTTTTATTTATTGTTTTTATCTATTTTTTAGTACTGCTTTTATTTATTTATTTATTTATTGTTTTATTTATTGTTTTTATCTTTTTTTTAGTACTGCTTTTATGTATTGATTTTATTATTTTTGTTCATTTTACTATAATTTTATTTAGTTTAGTTTCTTAATTTCTGTTGATTTTTTTTTTTTTTTTTTTTTTTAAGTAAAATGTTTATGTTATAGTTTATCTGAAGAACTGTTCACATGTGACCTTCACAGTCTGTTCTTCTCTCTTCAATTGTTTTTACTACAACTCGACTTTACACAGGAAATATCTGCTCCTGATCTCTCATTTTCTAAAATACATTTCACCCAAAAAGTGCGACTTATATGTTTTTTTCTTCTTCATTACGCATTTTTTGGCTGGTGCGACTTCCAAAAAAATACGGTCATGTTTTTCTTATTCTGTAAAACATTTTAAATTATTTTGTGTAAGAACGGTGCTGTGTAAATAAACTGGTGCAGGACTTACCCTCCAGCTGAGTGATCCTCTTCTCCGTCTTTTCCGGGCTCTTTGTCTCCGTCTCCCCCTCGTCCCTCCTCTTCTCCTCCGTCCCCTCCTCCCTCCTCCTCTCCTCCACCCTCTGCAGTATCTCCTGTTGCGTTCTGGAGATTTCCTCTTGGTGCAGGTCCTTCATCCTCTGCACCTCGCTCTGGTGTTTCTCCATGAGGTCTCTGATCTGAGCTTTCATCACGTGTCTCTCCGCCTCCGTCTTAGACTCCAGACTCTTCTGCTCCACCTGGACGCGCTTCAGACGCTCCAGCAGCTCCTGGAAACATGTCGGCGACGTTACGAGCACGTCCACACCGCCACAGAGCTCTAAAAGTTATTTAGTATCGTCACGATACGACAGTTTCAAACTTTATCTCGATACAAAGGAACAGATTTGATACTCAAACGGATTCTGATGAAACAGTGAGAATAAAAACAAAAAAACACTTCAATACTAGTTTAAGTATCGATTTGCATCTGATTTTTGATACTTTTGACAAAACTGTTTGGTACCAGTGACATAGTTGGAGACGTTCTGATCCTGACTAACCTGGACTAAACCAGGACTAAACCCGGGACTCAACCCGAGACTAAACCCAGGACTAAACCTGGGACTCAACCAGGGACTCCACCAGAGACTAAACCAAGGACTAAAAATGAGACTAAACCAGAGACTAAACCAGGAACTGAACAAGGGACTCAACCTGAGACCTAAACCTGGACCAAACCAGGGACCAAACCAGGGACTAAACCTGGGACCAAACCAGGGACTAAACCTGGGACCAAACCAGGGACTAAACCTGGGACCAAACCAGGGACCAAACCAGGGACCAAACCAGGGACTAAACCTGGGACCAAACCAGGGACCAAACCAGGGACTAAACCTGGGACTAAACCAGGGACTAAACCTGGGACCAAACCAGGGACCAAACCAGGGACTAAACCTGGGACCAAACCAGGGACCAAACCAGGGACTAAACCTGGGACCAAACCAGGGACTAAACCTGGGACCAAACCAGGGACTAAACCAGGGACTAAACCTGGAAACCAGGGACACAACCTGAGACCAAACCAGGGACTAAACCAGGGACTAAACCAGGGACTAAACCTGGGACCAAACCAGGGACTAAACCAGGGACTAAACCTGGGACCAAACCAGGGACTAAACCTGGGACCAAACCAGGGACTAAACCAGGGACTAAACCAGGGACTAAACCTGGGACTAAACCAGGGACTAAAACTAAACCAGGGACTAAACCAGGGACTAAACCAGGGACTAAACCAGGGACTCAAACCAGGAACTGAACAAGGGACTCAACCTGAGACCAAACCAGGGACTAAAAGGGACTAAACCAGGGACTAAACCTGGGACTAAACCTGGGACTAAACCAGGGACTAAACCTGGGACTAAACCTGGGACTAAACCTGGGACTAAACCTGGGACTAAACCAGGACTAAACCAGGGACTCAACTAGGGACTCAACCTGAGACCAAACCAGGGACTAAACCAGGGACTAAACCAGGGACTAAACCAGGGACTAAACCTGGGACTAAACCTGGGACTAAACCTGGGACTAAACCTGGGACTAAACCAGGGACTAAACCTGGGACTAAACCAGGGACTAAACCTGGGACTAAACCAGGGACTAAACCAGGGACTAAACCTGGGACTAAACCAGGGACTAAACCTGGGACTAAACCAGGGACTAAACCAGGGACTAAACCTGGGACTAAACCAGGGACTAAACCAGGGACTAAACCAGGGACTAAACCAACTAAACCAGGGACTAAACCAGGGACTAAACCAGGGACTAAACCAGGGACTAAACCAGGGACTAAACCTGGGACTAAACCAGGGACTAAACCAGGGACTAAACCTGGGACTAAACCTGGGACTAAACCAGGGACTAAACCAGGGACTAAACCAGGGACTAAACCCGACTCTGAACCCAAGACTCAACCAGGGACTAAACCCGAGACAAAACCAAGGACTGAACCAGGGACTCAACCAGAGACGAAACCCGAGACTAAAGCAAGGACTAAACCAAGGACTAAACCCGGGACTAAACCCAAGAATAAACCCGAGACAAAACCCGAGACTCAAGCCGGGACTCAAGCCGGGACTAAACTCAAGAGTAAACCCGAGCCTAATACAGGAACTGAACCCGAGGCTAAACCAGGGACTAAACCCGAGACTAAATCAGAGACTAAATCAGAGACAAAACCCGAGACAAAACCCGAGACTAAACCCGAGACTAAACCCGAGACTAAACCCGAGACTAAACCCGGAACTCAACCCGGGACTCAACCCGGGACTCAACCCGGGACTCAACCCGGGACTCAACCCGGGACTCAACCAGAGATTAAACCCAAGACTAAAACAGGGACTAAAGGCTCTAATAGAAAGCTGTGTTCAGACGGTGAACTCTGTGCGTCGAGTTTAAATTCTCCTTGGACGCGCCTCAAGTATTTTCAGTAAGTAAAGGTTCGAACGAGAGACGAGAGTTTTTCGAGAGTCTGAACACATCTTAAAAAGAGGATTTATAAAAGGGTATAAAGCTTTAGTTTTTGTTTGTGTTTTGCTGCTTCTGCTGCGGCTGCGACTTGAGCATAAAAGCTGCCAACTCTGTAGTTTAGATCTGTACAAAAATGTTCTGAAATATGATTCTTGTATTCGTTCGTCAGTTCTTCTGGACGTGTTTAAATGTTTGAACTCTGGAACTGAATCCTTTTATTAAAACATAAACCCTAAATCTCATCACCATCTCCATATTTGTCAGAAAAATTGCAATTATCTACACTACCGGTCAAAAGTTTTAGAACGCCACACTTTTTCCTTTTATTTATTTTAATTTTTTTACTGTTTTCTGTCGACCAAAACGTTTTCTAAACTTTTAAATGACGTGTGTGTCGACCTCTGTCAGACAGAACAGCTGAACTCACTCGTGGCTCGTTCTTTTTACAACACAAATCAAATATTGTTCAGAAAGTTCTTCCCAAGTCTGTTGCAGAAGTTTCCATAAATGTGTGACACTTGTCGGTCGCTTCACTCTTCAGTCTTCAGCTCGATGGGTTTAAGTCTGGACTCTCTGCTGCTGCTGGACACTCAAGGTTTTCAAGTTTTACCATCTTGTTCTTTTTTCCTGAGGTCGTTTTGGCAGAGCTTGGACTTGTGTTTAGTTATTTTATCTTTTTTTTAACCTCTGTCTTTTCAGTTTTTACCTTTGTTCCATTTCAAGCGACTCACTGGACTTGCACGACTTGAATTGCAGTAAATAACTAGAAAAATCAGGGTGTTCTAAAAGGTTTTCTGGTCCTGCTTAGCTCCAGAGACGCAGGTGCTGTGGACTGACCTTGATCTGCCCGTCCCTGGTGTCCACCTCTCCCTGAAGAACATCGATCACCTGGTTTTTACCCAGAAGCACCTCCTCTTTCTCGTGGAGCTTCTGTTTGAGAGCCTTCAAAAGCTGCAGGAAAAACAACACGTCACATCAATCAATCAATCAATAAATCTGTGTTAAAGCTGCACTGTGTAACTTCTCGGCTGGGGGTCCGTCTATGCTATTGCTCCTCCTGGAATGTCCCACAGTGTGACATTAAACGGCTCCACTTTGCATTTATTCAATTACAGGTGGTTTAATAGCTCAAAAATCCCTAGAACAGCAGGCATTCTGACCTGGAACTTGGTCTGGTTTGGTCTTCGTGAAGATAGAAAGGTTTAATGTCGTACTGTGAAACATTCCAGACAAAGCAATGACATCTCCATGGAGAAAAGCGTCTGATGGAGCCTCCACCAGAAGATGTTCACCGTTACAGGAGTTACCAGATAGTCTTTTCTGCACTGTGAAGAGTCTAGACCGGTGATATTCAATATTTTTTTCACAAAAGCCACAGTGGAAGATCAAAATCAAAAGGAGAGCCTCTTATAAATTAAAAAAACATAAATAAACTCAACTTTACAACATATAAACCAGGGGTGTTCACACTTTTTCATCATGTGAGCTTCTTACAAAATGACCAAGTCAAAATGATCGACCTAATACAAAGTCAAGCAAACTGCACTGAAACACTCTGTGGCCCTTTTTTTGACCCTCCCCCACAGTTTGAGAACCTCTTCTTTAAGAGAACTTCCTCTGGCACTTTACACAAAACTGTAAAAAAAGTGAAGGAAGATTTTTAAACCTGTTTTTTAAAGTTCCAAACTGGAGTTTCATTCTTTTCTGGTTTTGCAGTGATATTTACCAGCCTCTGCACGTTTACCAAACCAAACGCACATCGTGACAAACACAGATGCATTTGTCACTTTTGTTAGACAAACTTCAGCCAAATGTGGCAGTAGGTCTGTTCTGTAGATCCGCTCTATGCTGTAGACCTGCTTTGTGCCAACACTGGAACACAAATTTAGACTGGTTTTTGCTTCACGTTTGGTCTTGCTCTTCTAATCAGCCGCACTGTGGGAGGGGCTTGTGTTGGCTGTACGCAGGAAGGAGCGAGAGCGTGAAAAGGCGAGGGGCGGCGTGCTGACGTGAGGCAGGTGGACAGGTAGGATGTTTAGGAAGTTGAACCTGCCCTGTGACGCACGCTGGTACACGAGGGCACACGCTGTCGCAGACGAGCCGTGCATAGGGAGCGTGTGTGTTTGTGATGCGCCGTAGAGTCTCCGCGGGTTTCAAATGAGCGCACAGGCTGAACTGAGACGCCCCACACGCTCCTGCACCCGCTACAAGTTTATTACCAACAGCAGCGGCCGGAATGAAATATGATCACACTTGTTGAGTGTCAGACCTCGAGTGAGAGACAAGACCGAGTCCAAACACGAGTCCGAGACGAGACACGGCGATGTACCCACACGACTTTGGCGATCGACGTATTAAGCACCCCTGATATAAACTGTAACCACTCTAGAGCCACATCAGCCCGTTTGACATTATCATGTGTTTAATGAAGCTGTGACACTTTTGTTTATGTTTTACACAAACTAAACTTAAAACCACATGACTCATTTGAAAATGAGCTTCGTTTACCTGCTCCAAGTCTGCGCTGGCGTCAGATTTGGCGGCGAGTCTGAAAAGTTCCTGTTCGTGCATCTGGCTCATCTCCATCAGCTGGTTGTCCTTCTGCAGAATGATGTCTTTGAACGTCTGGATCTGCAAGAACAACAAATATGAGAAAGGGTAAGAGAAGGTACAGAGGGTCAGAGGGCAGAGGAAGGTCAGAGCAGAGAAGGTCAGAGGAGCAGAAGGTCAGAGCAGAGAAGGTCAGAGAGAAGGTCAGAAGAGAAGGTCAGAGGAGCAGAGGAGCAGGTCAGAGGAGCAGAAGAGAAGGTCAGAGGAGCAGAGGAGAAGGTCAGAGGAGCAGAGGGTCAGACATACATTTTGTTTGTACATGTCTTCCTTCTTGGTGAACTGCTCCTGCTCTGTGGACAGCAGTTCCTTGAGGCTCTCCGACTGTTCCTGGAGGAGGCTGTACCGTTCTTCCGCTTCCCCGATTTTCTTCGTCAAATTCTGGACCAGATTCTGAAGGTCCACCAGAGAGCCGCCGTTCTCCGTCTCCTGAAGAACAAACCAAATGAGACCACCGTGTTACAGTCGCGTCACGTTATCGCGTCTTTACCTTCGGCGGCGCTGTGGGCTGCTCTCCTCCCATCGCGGTCTGCAGGTGCACGATGTACGCCTCCTTTTCCGCCAGCTTCCTGTCCTTCTCCGTGAGCATCTGATCCATCTCCTCCCCGCGCCGAAACCAAGACGACAGCTCCTCCCGCTGCAAAAACGAAACGGAAAGATGAAGAAAAACTTTAAAGTCCCTGTATTATGAAAAATTGACTCTTGTGAGCTTTAAATCATGTTCTAACGCCGTTTCTCCTCAAAAACAGACCTGGAGTGGTTCTGGATAATTCCTCATGGTTCTGTTAGCTCTAGTTTCCTCTTTTCAAATGCATCTTTAGTTCCTGGTCTCTCTATATTTGAGATTTTAATTTTATTTTTACCTTGATGTTTAATTTTATTTTTACCTCAATGTTAAATTTTATTTTTTTACCTTGATTATTGAATTTTATTTTTACCTTGATGTTTAATTTAATTTTTAACCTTGATTATTAATTTTTATTTTATCTTATATCATTTTTTATTTTACCTTAATTTTATTTTTACTTGATGTTTAGTTTTATTTTTACCTCGATGTTTACTTTGATTTTTACCTTGATTAATTATTTTATTTTTACTTTGATGAGTAAACTTATTTTTACCTTGATGCTTAGTTTTATTTTTACTTGATATTTAGTTTGATTTTTATCTTGATTTCATTTTTACTTTTACCTCATTGTTTGTTTAATTTTATTTTTTACCTTGATTATTTATTTTATTTTTACCTCAATGTCGAGTTAAGGTTGACTTGATGTTTAATTTAATTTTTAACTTTGGTTATTAATTTTATTTTTATCTTATATCATTTTTAATTTTACCTTAATTTTATTTTTACTTTGATGTTTAGTTTTATTTTTACTTCGATGTTTTGTTTTATTTTTACCTTGATTTTTATTTTTACTTTGATGATTAACCTTATTTTTACCTTGATGCTTAGTTTTATTTTTATTTTCATATTATTTTTATTTTTATCTTGATATCATTTTTAACTTTACCTCGATGTTTAATTTTATTTTTATTTTGATATTATTTTTATTTTGACCTCGATATTTAGTTTTATTTTTACCTTGATGTTTAATTCTATTTTTACTTGATGTTTAGTTTGATTTGTACCTTGGTGTTTAGTTTTATTTTTACTTGGTGTTTAGTTTTATTTTTACTTGGTGTTTAGTTTTATTTTTACTTGGTGTTTAGTTTTATTTGTACCTTGGTGTTTAGTTTGATTTGTACCTTGGTGTTTAGTTTGATTTTTACTTGGTGTTTAGTTTGATTTGTACCTTGGTGTTTAGTTTGATTTTTACTTGGTGTTTAGTTTGATTTGTACCTTGGTGTTTAGTTTGATTTTTACTTGGTGTTTAGTTTGATTTGTACCTTGGTGTTTAGTTTGATTTTTACTTGGTGTTTAGTTTGATTTTTACTTTGTTTAGTTTTTATTTGTACCTTGGTGTTTAGTTTGATTTTACTTGGTGTTAGTTTGATTTTTACTTGGTGTTTAGTTTTATTTGTACCTTGGTGTTTAGTTTGATTTGTACCTTGGTGTTTAGTTTTGATTTGTACCTGGTGTTTAGTTTGATTTGTACCTTGGTGTTTAGTTTGATTTGTACCTTGGTGTTTAGTTTGATTTTTACTTGGTGTTTAGTTTGATTTTGTACTTTGTTTTTGATTTTTACTTGGTGTTTATTGTTGTGTTTAGTTTGATTTGTACCTTGGTGTTTAGTTTGATTTGTACCTTGGTGTTTAGTTTGATTTGTACCTTGGTGTTTAGTTTGATTTGTACCTTGGTGTTTAGTTTGATTTGTACCTTGGTGTTTAGTTTGATTTGTACCTTGGTGTTGAGCTCCTGGTCCCTCTGGTTCAGCGTCTGCTCCAGCTCCTCCACCTTCTTCTTCAGCAGCACCACCTTCCCTCGAGCGGCTTGGTCTGCGCCGTCGCCCTGAGCACAAACCAAACACAAACACACGACGTCACCCACAATATCCACCCAAGTCTAAAAATAACAACAATAATAATAATAATAAGTATGCAAATAAAATAATAACTGTAAAACATAATACAGTACAAGACAAAGAAACACCTGTTGTTCTCTTGTTTGTTTTGTTGTAGGTTTGAGGATGGAGTTGTAAATAGGAGACAGATGATGTCTGGGTCCATTTCTGTTTAAAGGATTTTCTAAACGGTTCTGTTTCCCTGTGCATATGAATCCGTGTATCATTCGGTCATTCGTTTTTCAATATAAAACCAAAAATAAGAAAATGAAAAAACAACAGTTTTCTTCATTATTTGTCTCCAAAACCAAAATGAAAAAAAGCGATAACGATTAGTTTTTTTCAGTTTTCAATTTTGTGTTTAAATGAACAATGGAAAAAACGGATAACGGCCAATTTCCGTTTACGTGACTTCAGTGACTGTGATGCCGGACTTTTGCACCGCGTACGGACTGAACCAGGACTGATCCAGGTCCAGGACCAGACCGGGACCAGGGCGGACTCCGAGCTTTGACTCCGAGCCTCAGCTTCGAGCTCCGGCCCTGCTGTGGGCTCTGAGCCTCCGGTCTGCTCCTAGTCTTGTCTCGGTCTCAGGCCTGTTCTGGTCCCGGTCTGGTCCCGGACCTGGTCTATTTGAACCAAAAGCTCTTAGTTCAGTTCGTTTTCGTTGGTGTGAAAGCGTCAGTCGGATGCTTTGCACCACCTCGGAACCAGTCGTGGTTCTTGAGCGCGTAGGACCGGAGCAGCCCGTCCGGACCTGTAGTCTCACTTTCCCTGCACGGAACCAGCGCGCATACGATGACACGGAACCGCTCGGACCGCTGGTCTCGGTCTCAGTTCCGCTCTGGTCCCGGTCTGGTCTCGGACCTGGATCAGTCCTGGTTCAGTCCGTACGCAGTGCAAAAGTTCGGTATCGCAGTCACTGAAGTCACGTAAACGGGCCGTTATCCGTTTTTTCCATTTTTCATTTAAAAACAAAATAGAAAACTGACGTCTCCGCCTAAAAGGACCTCAGTCCGCCGTCCGTCTCCGCCTAAAAGGACCTCAGTCTGCCGTCCGTCTCCGCCTAAAAGGACCTCAGTCTGCCGTCCGTCTCCGCCTAAAAGGACCTCAGTCTGCCGTCCGTCTGCGCCTAAAAGGACCTCAGTCTGCCGTCCGTCTGCGCCTAAAAGGACCTCAGTCTGCTGTACGTCTCCGCCTAAAAGGACCTCAGTCTGCCGTCCGTCTGCGCCTAAAAGGACCTCAGTCTGCTGTACGTCTCCGCCTAAAAGGACCTCAGTCTGCCGTACGTCTCCGCCTAAAAGGACCTCAGTCCGCCGTACGTCTCCGCCTAAAAGCCTCAGGTCAGTCTTTTGAGGACAGTGAGGTACAGATCTGAGCCAGAGAAAAGAATTGGTTTGAGACGGGAGGTAGAGAAGATATTTTAGTTAAGAAAGAGAATCTTTCTTTAAAGTCTGTCTCATCCAACACCATCTGCTCTCCACCACAGGACGTCAAAATAAAATAAAATAAAATAACTCCCCTTGTGGATCAATAAAGTTTGTCTGAGTCTAAAGCACTCTGAGGCCCTCTTGTAGTGAGTGTGTGTCTGTGTGTGTGTGTGTAGCAGACAGTACCTTCTTGGGTGAGGGCGCCCCCTGGTGTTTCTTCAGCTCCTCCAGCTGAGAGCTCAGAGACGTGACTTTGGCTTTGTTCTGGAGACGGAGCTTTGACAGTTTGGCCTCACACGACTCTTTCTCTGCCTGAAAAACACACAAACACAAACACACAAAAACACACACACACACACACATGCACACAAACACACACACACACACACACAAACATAAACACACACACACAAACATAAACACACACACACAAACACACACACACACAAACACACAAACAAACACAGAATAAAAAACTATTCTGCTTTAAAAAGTCCATGTAAACACTTAAATCTTAATGAAAATTATTATTCTGATTATATGATAGCAGTAATAGTATTTGTAGTAGTTTTAATAGTAATAGTAGCAGTAGTAGCTCCTCCTTGAACCGTCACCTTATCGTGGTGGAGGGGTTTGATGCCCGAATGATCCCAGGAGCTATGTTGTCGGGGGCTTCATGCCCCTGGTCGGGTCACCCAAGGCAAACAGGTCCGGGGGGACGGGTCAGACGAAGAACGGTTCAGAAGCCCCTATGATGAGTGTACGAGCAAGGCCAGTTACGTCGCCCGGATTGGCGTCACCGGGGCCTCACCCTGGAGCCAGGCCTGGGGTGGGTGCTCGCCAGCGAGCGCCTGGTGGCCGAGCCTCCCCCCACGGGGCTCGGCCGGGCTTAGCCCGAAGGAGCGACGTGGGGCCGTCCTCACGTGGGCCCACCACCCGCAGGAGGATCCATATGGGGCCGGTGCAGAGAGATCTGGGCGGCAGTCGACGGCGGGGGCCTCGACGACCGGATCTCCGGACATGGAGACTGTGGCTCTGGGGACATGGAATGTCACCTCGCTGGGGGGAAGGAGCCTGAGCTTGTGCGGGAGGTTGAGCGTTACCGACTAGATATAGTCGGCCTCACCTCCACGCACAGTTTGGGCTCTGGAACCCAACTCCTTGAGAGGGGCTGGACTCTCCATTTCTCTGGCGTTGGCCGCGGGGAGCGGCGGCGGGCTGGTGTGGGCTTATAGCCCCACAGCTCAGTCGCTGTGTGTTGGAGTTCACCCCGGTGAACGAGAGGGTCGCGTCCCTGCGCCTTCGGGTCGGGGACAGGTCTCTCACTGTGGTGTCGGCCTACGGGCCGAACAGCAGTGCAGAGTACTCGAGTACCCGGCCTTCTTGGAGTCCTTGGGAGGGGTACTAGACAGTGCACCGACCGGGGACTCCGTTGTTCTCCTGGGGGACTGCAACGCCCACGTGGGCAACGACAGTGACACTTGGAGAGGGGTGATTGGGAGGAACGGCCTCCCCGATCTGAACCCGAGCGGTGTTTTGTTATTGGACTTCTGTGCTAGTCACAGTTTGTACATAACAAACACCATGTTCGAGCACAAGGGTGTCCATAAGTGCACGTGGCACAAGGACACCCTAGGCCGGAGGTCGATGATCGACTTTGTCGTCGTGTCATCTGATCTCCGGCCGCGTGTCTCGGACACTCGGGTGAAGAGAGGGGCTGAGCTGTCAACTGATCACCACCTGGTTGTGAGTTGGGTTCGCTGGCGGAGGAGGAAGCCGGAAAGACCTGGCAGGCCCAAGCGTGTAGTGAGGGTCTGTTGGGAACGTCTGGCGGAGCCTCTGTCAGAGGGACCTTCAACTCGCACCTCCGGGAGGACTTCTCCCGGATTCCGGGGGAGGCCGGAGATATGGAGTCCGAGTGGGCTTCATTCTCGGCCTCTATTGTCAATGCAGCTGCTCGGAGCTGTGGGCGTAAGGTCTGTGGTGCCTGTCGCGGCGGCAACCCCAGAACCCGGTGGTGGACACCGGAAGTAAGGGATGCTGTCAAGCTGAAGAAGGAGTCCTATCGGGCCTTGCTGGCTCGGGGGACTCCTGAGGCAGCTGACAGGTACCGGCGGGCCAAGCGTGCTGCAGCCCATGTGGTCGCGGAGGCAAAAACTGGGAGGAGTTCGGAGAGGCCATGGAGGAGGATTATCGGACGGCCTCAAAGAGATTCTGGCAAACCGTCCAGCGCCTCAGGAGGGGAAAGCAGTTCTTCACCAACACTGTTTACAGTGCGGGGGGAGAGCTGCTGACCTCGACTGGGGACGTTGTCCGGCGGTGGAAGGAAAACTTTGAGGATCTCCTCAATCCCACCGTCACGTCCTCCAAGGAGGAGGCCGAGGCTGGGGACTCGGAGGCGGACTCATCCATCACCCTGGCCGAAGTCACTGATGTGGTTGGCAAGCTCCTTGGTGGCAAGGCTCCGGGGTTGGATGAGATCCGTCCTGAGTACCTTAAGTCTCTGGATGTTGTGTGTCTTGGCTGACACGCCTCTTCAACATCGCGTGGCGGTTGGGGACAGTACCTCTGGACTGGCAAACTGGGGTGGTGGTCCCTCTGTATAAGAAAGGGGACCGGACGGTGTGTTCCAACTATAGGGGGATCACACTTCTCAGCCTTCCCGGTCTATGCCAGGGACTGGAGAGGAGAATCCGGCCAATAGTCGAACCTCGGATTCAGGAGGAGCAGTGTGGTTTTCGTCCTGGCCGTGGAACACTGGACCAGCTCTACACTCTCAATCGGTGCTCGAGGGTTCATGGGAGTTTGCCCAACCAGTCCACATGTGTTTTGTGGATCTGGAGAAGGCATTCGACCGTGTCCCTCGTGGTGTCCTGTGGGGGGGCGCTCTGGGAGTATGGGGTCCGGGGCCCTTTGCTAAGGGCTGTCCGGACCGGAGCAGGAGCTGTGTTCTCATTGCCGGCAGTAAGTCAGACCTGTTCCCGGTGCATGTTGGACTCCGCCAGGGCTGCCCTTTGTCACCGGTTCTGTTCATTGTATTTATGGACAGAATTTCTAGGCGCAGTCAGGGGCCGGAGGGGGTCCGGTTTGGGGACCACAGGATTTCATCTCTGCTGTTTGCGGACGATGTTGTTCTGTTGGCTTC